CTATTCTGATGGCCTCTGCCTGCAACGGCATGCTGAGAAAGCACACCAAAACACATCAAGCACCGGATTTCAGCCCCCGCGGTCTCAGATCCCATGACATTTCTACACCTTCCTACTTTAGGTGATACTAAAAAAAAACACTTCATGTAGTGTAAAGTTCAACTTGGGAGGGAAGTCGAAGAGAACATTTTCTCCATAAACCTCCACAGATTGTAATACAATGCAGGCACGTTGTGTTTGACAACACAGATGCATCCTTGTGTTCAAAGAAAGGTTTCGCTAGCTAAATATATCTTTGAGCCAACAGTCGTCTTTGAAAGTACCATGTTTATTACCAAGGGAATTTGTGAAAGTCATTCTAGGACATATAGGAAATCAATGGGTGCAAATGTTGCTGAGGCAGGATGTGTGAAACTGGATATATCAATATGGTAAATTAGATAAAACATAGGATTACAAGTCAGCTCTCCCCAAATTTGAACACATCAGCTTAAATACAGAAAAGCTCTGTGTTCATCCTTTTTGTGAGACAAAGTAGGAAAAGTAGTGTTTTTGTCATTTTTGTGCAACACTAGAGACACAAATTATCTTAAAGGTGAAATCATGAAGAAAGGGTCTGTGGGTTGGGTTCGAACCCTTGTCCGCCGTGAGAAGGGCTCAGCTGTAGTCCATTGGCCTTTGCTTGTTTGTTTTTTGGTAACTTAGAGAAACTCAAACACAGAATCATATTGTGTTCATAATCATAATAAGAAGCTAGTCAACCTTTGTTTTTTTAAGAACCTAGATGTTTCTGTAATTCAAGGCTAACCCTCCCCCACCACCAAAATAAACAACAAGCCTAACCTCCATAGTGCAGTATCCAAGAGAAAGCATGTTTGGCTTTTAATCCTTTAATCTTCCACCATGCCTTGGTTTGTATACATTTCAGCTGCTTGTTAGAAATCAATGAGTGACTTGTAGCATCAGATAGAAAAGGGTCAATGACACTCTTTATTCTCCACCCCCATAGTCCTTCCCGCCTAATTTCTCCCCCAGCTCTCCGCATCTGAACTCACCTTTTCTTCAGTTGCACTATTTCGCCTCCCCTGCTCCTTCGGGGTGATTACTCTTACCGCTGAACGAGAGGCTGTGTTTGCCAAGACTGTAGTTTTGCGATACCCAGCCAATAACTTTCAGTAGAAAGAAATAGCTTCTCTCCCTCTGCATCCCATTTTTAAACCATATCTTGTTTCTGTGTAGGGAGTTCCATTACTCTGTAGCTTGCAGGCTGGAAGAGGGGAAGGGGGAAGGGGGAAGGGGGAAGGGAGGTGCACGAGATGAAAAGAGGTGATAGAAGGTTGCGGCTGTTGCTGCAGACGCTCTTTCCTTCGACACAGGAGCAAACACAACATGTTGATGCACAGTGAGCAGAGATGTAATCACTTTTATTATGTTTTATCTCATCAAAATATAAAGTGCAGAGCGACTCGGAGAGAGAATTAGACAAAGGCAATGACATGTCGGAGAAAATCGTGCCGTTGTTCACTTGTTTAGCACAAAAGACAGCGATTGCATGATATGCACCGATATTCTAAAATAGATGCAGCTCCAGTCATGCCCTATGATGCATCCTGCTCTCCTTCTGCAGCTATTTACACACATGAGGGGTGATTATGTGAGCCTGACCTTGTTATTGTGGCCCTGATGAATGTGAGTACCGTGTTTAGATGTTGGCCCAGGGTCTGTCGCTACCAAGACGATATTTAACTAACATAGCATAATCCCTCCGAAAGTCTTCCTGTTTAGACTGCCCAACGAAAGGCAATTCTTCAAAGTATCCCACGCTGACAGGCTTTGATAGATGACTGGCAGCTTTTCCTTCTTTAGCGGATCATAGAGCCTCATCATGATGTAATTCCGCGTAATTAGCCAAAGATGACATTATGATATTTAATCTCTTTTGGGGAATCCACTGGGGAAACTGTGGCTTTATTATAACATGAAATGACATCTCACTGGAGGCCCCGCAAACAGTCAGGAGAAGGTTGGAGTTGACTACGCCGGCTTAAGGCCTCTGCTCAGCTGTTTAGTAATCTTGGCTTCCTCTCCTCCTGCTATTACTCTTGTCTTATTCAGAGCGTCTCCCTGGTGGCACAGATCATCATGATATACATGAAGGATATGCTCGTGTGTGTTAGAAGGGTGTGTATGTGTGTGACTTCCTCAAATCAGTGCATTGAGCTGTTTTTCTGTGCACCCCTTGAACATTTAAGCAACACTGTATTTCCTTCTCTGTGTGTGAGAGAGAAAGAGAAAGCGATAGTGTGTGTCAGTGACTTCCCCCTCCATCTGCCCACCCTCATGGAAATCCTCGGTGCATTTAGTAACATTTTGAGAAACGGTGCCAGCATTTAATTAAGTTCTAGTTCGCCAACATTTCCCTGCTGAAACATCGAATACCTGATCTTCTTTTGTCAATTTCTTCTGCTGTTCTTGTGCTCCTCTGTGTGGCGCCTACTGTAACTCGGAAAGATGTTGCCGCTGGGAGAAGCAGGTAAAGAAGCCATCAAAACCGATGCAAGTAGAAAGAGTTGCAATCAGTGCTCCAAATAACCGTAGAGTTAGTCTTTTGTGTGGATCGCTCCCCCTATCCCCCAGTCTCACTTTGTTTCCCTCTTTGTCGGTGTGCTTGAAGCGTTCAATTCAGTAGAAGCTAGTAGTAATGTTTCTCTCCCAGTAGAAATGGCATGCTGTTTGTTCAATTGTTGTGGGTTGGGAAAATATGGGCTTTTATGCACCTGAAGATAGGAATAGAAGTCTTTATGAGAAGCCAATAGCTCGCCGCTCAAGGATCGTCTGATAGGAGATGCATTTTGCTGGAAGTTTTTCTCCCGTTCTGTGAAGTCTTTGACAAAAGCTTTCCCATGTATTTAGGCAACCCCCAAAAAGGGCTCTTTTCATTTGTTATTCCACAAAAAGCAGCATGCTATACTTATTTCGGCAGGGTTTCAACAAGTGGTCGCACTAATGGTATCTATTGTTTTCAGTTTGCACAGCACAAAAATGGCTGCCTCTTCAAATCAAAAAGCTAACAACAACAAGTGTGTGAGCTTGTCAAATGTCACAATATATGTCTACTTTGGATCCACATCAAGGTTAACTAGAAGTATGCTGCTGTCTTGTAGAGAGCTAAAGGCAAACATGTAGCCTAGTTAGAGTTGACTGTAATGACATATCTTGATAAAAAATGAACATAGCTTACATTTGAATAAAGGATATGAAAGGTTGGGTTAATGTATTATGTGTATTTATGTAGAAAAATCTCCACAGTCATTTGTATATATATTTTAGTGTATTGTTCCAGTTTTTATCTTGTTTTTATTTGTCTCCCAATTCATTTATAGTCTTTTATTTAGTCCTCTCGTTGATCCTTTCCGCTTGTCCGCCATGTTTACAGTAATAGATGTAGCGCAAGATGATCCCGCATTAGAGTCTGTTTTCTGCCAGCTCTGTTTTTCTGTGCTCCTCCGATAGACAGAGGGTTAAAGGCAAGTGATTGGCCAGATATGAGGTTACAGCAATTGGGCTTGCAAATGATTGGCAGGGATGGATAGTGCATGCTCTACTTTTTTCCTTTTCACTGTTGTCCTCATTCCTTTGTGCGTAGTATAAATGCCTGTTTTGAAAGCAGCTTGTATAAGTCCTGTTTACAAAAACAACCTGTGGATACAGAAGTATAGCATACAGTAAGTAGTGATGATGGTGTTGCAAACGCTGCCAGAGCATGTTAGCTTTAACGATCGACAACTGTATATTAATGTGCATTAAACTCAAAGGAGCAGAGAATATAAACCTTTCATCAGTTTGTTTTGTGGGAACATCTCATTATGTCTTCCTTTCGCTCTCTCTGTTCCTTCCCTCCCTCTTCCTCTCTCTCTCCTCCTGTGCACCATCTGCATGGTGCTTTGTATCCAATCTGAAGGAGGGCTTTCTGTTCTCCACTGTGATGGTGGTGTGTGAGTGTGTGTGTGTTTCTCTGTGTGCCTGTACTGTATGTTTGTGTACATGTTCCTAGCCATCAAAGTCACTCTCAGCTCATTACCTGACATGATGGATGGAGCGAGTGCTATTAAATAACGCCCAGCCCGGGACGCCTGGCACCCTGCAGCTGGCACTGAGTAATGGGCATCGTGGTGGCGCCGTGTGTGGAAACACCAGGGAGTCCTGTGTGGTGCGCCTGCAGTCCATGGCTCTGCTTCCTGGTTCTGTCCAACCCCACCTGCCACCTGGCTGCCCGGCGGATGCCATGGGCATTTCTGGGCAGACATGGCTGAATAGCATGGGAGGTTGTGTTTGTATGACTCTGTCACAGAACTGGCAACTGAGAAAACCCAGAGTGCTTTTTGACCACAAACAGTGGAACATGCACTGCCACAAATCACCTGCAGCAACTTTTATTTTATTACTTCAATGTATCTGCATTGCAGTTGTTATTCAACTACCAAATGTAAGGTTTAGCCAATGTTCCATCTCACAAAGAATATTTCTGAATAGCACAAACAAGTCTTGCCGTCCTTGTTCCTTCCCTGCCCCTTTCGTACAGTACGTGTAGTCTTTTTACTTGTGTGTTCCCCTTTGTTTGGCCGTGTTTGTGCGTGCATGTTTGCATTTACTTTTTCTCCTGTGCAGAGGCTTCTTCTGAGGAGCTGAGAGGCTCTTGAGTGGAAGCCTGCATCAGGAGTTGAATGGAGTTACTATGGCACCAGACACAAGCACCTCAACTCCAGCAGCTTCTTCTGTTTCTCCGTGCTCCCCTGCTGCTCTGCCCTCAATCACCCTGGATTTGCCTCATGTTGTTTTATCTCTCCTTTCTCTGCCTCCCTTAGTTTCTCTATACAGTCTTTCATTACGTTGAGCTCCCGCGCGCCAGTATGGATCAATGTAACAACACTTTCTTGTTCTTTCTCAGTCTCACTCTGTTTCTGATTCTTTGTTGTTTCTTTGTTCTCTTTTCCGAACAGACAACCGGCGCGCAGTCCTGGAAAGGTCTCGCTCACGCCACAACGCAAACCACCCAGCTCGATGATCGCCCACGCCTACCACAAGACGCTAGATAAGTGCCAAAGAGGCCTGCGAGGTGGAGACTTGGAAGACATCTGAAGGAGGGACAGACCGCCCCTCACTGTAGCGCTCAAACACATATCACTCACACATCAACAAACAACAAGAATGAAACTGCAGAATCCACACAGAACTGAAGCGTCTACCATACATCACAAACACTTTTAATTATCATGCTCTTCCTCTGATGCCTTACATATTTATTCAACACTTTCTCATCACTCTCAATATGTGTGTCCTATTTAGATTAGGGCTGCTGCGGTTTAAAGAAGGTGCTTTTTGCTTGGAATTACATTTTGATTCATGCTAGTTGATTTTTATTTGTATTTAAATGCTTCAGTTCACATAGAAAAGAGGCAAGGAGGACTGAACCATAGTGTGCATTTATGGTCCTGACAAGCATACGACAAACAGCACACTCAGTGCCGGCGGTCCTTTAAATGCAAGACGGAGATTCAACAGCCATTATCCTGCTGATGTTTTCTTCAACAGTTCTCTGAACTCTTCACAGAGGAGGAATATGTTTCTTTGTATTTTGTCGTATTTCTGTCACTAGCAAATGTACAAAAAAAAAATCCCACAAAGCCAAGGGAAGCGTTTCCTGTCTGCGCCAATATTTCACAGCATGTGACTCATGGAGATATCGAAACTGTAATCTCCGTTTTGACAGGACGCATTTTATTTTTAGTTGTGTAATATCTGACCGATGCCTTCGGGGGCTGATCTCTGTTCCAAGGTCGCTTTTGCTGTTCACGTGAGAGACTGACACATTTCTAAATGCATATAACTGCCGAGAGGGGCAAACCCGACCCTTTGACCTTTCCTGCTGTCACACAGGTTTCAGTGGGGGGGGGGGTTGATTGTACAAAGGTATAACAACGTTTTAAATGTGATTCTATTTTAATCTGTGTATATTTTTGTTTATAGGAGGTCTCTCTCAATAGGACAAATGGGAACAAAGTGCTCTATTTAGAATTCCCAGATTTAATTATTTACCCGTTTTCCCAAAAATAAATAGATCAATAAAAAGAAGCTATGTAGGAAAACAAATGTAAACTTAGGGTCATATGTACACATTGTTTTCAACATGTTTTTACCGCTATGAAGGTGTAATTAACATAAACAGGGATACGCAGCTTAAAGGGTAAATGTATAATGTTTAAGAAATGCAAAATGTTCTTAAAAAAACATGAAATATTGTATTGATAAAGTAAAACAAAGGTTTCAGCATGGACACACACACACCTGATTCTTGGTGTTAATGTGCAGATCAGTTGAAACTCTGCTGTAAGTTTTGTTTCTCCGTAAGGACCCAATGTCACACCGTTCCTTCACGTGAACTATTTATTCATATATTCATGCCTAGGGCCACCCTGTCCCCTCACTGCCCTAAACTGTAAGCAGATGCTACTAAAAAACAACCACTGAATCCACATGGAGAGTGGGCACGAGCAGAATATCGACTAAGGGGCACAGAAGACAAGATGATGCTTGTCTTAGCAAGTCAGTCTCCAACGGCCCTTCAATTCCCTAACACTAATAGCATAAGTGACCCTTTTTACCATAACACAAGTTACTTCAGTAATACCAGAGCTTTGCTTCAAGCTTTGTGTGTTTGTGTGAGCGCCATGCCAGCTCAGTAATCGGACAGGAAACCAGACAAAATAGGATCCAGTGTGCTTGACTCCTGGGCTGAAGAGATGGAGATTTTTCATTTAAACTAATCTGCAGCTGCTGTTTGTGATGTGTCTGTTTCATGATGCCTCCTCTCCCGGCCCGCATGCTTCTAAAAATGCAATTTTACACATCAACTCGGCTCAAGGTGCATCCACAATGCTCTGAGAAGACTGCATATTTAAGAAGACAATAATTCTCCTAAGGTGAACGCAGTCGCTCGGAGAAAGTATAGAAAATGAGGTTTCCGCATAAGGGATGCTGCGAGGATAAGGGTTTAAAGGTGTGTTGTATACAGCGGGGAAGGAGATGATTTCCTTTTTTAATCTCAATTTACCCTCTGTTCTAACACTACCACGGTTTATGTAAAGTATTGAATATCAGATCCCCACCTACACCAATGTCTGCTGTGACGTTTGGTGTTTTTCAACCCTCTGATTGAATACTGCACACGCCAAAACAACCAGTAGTTCATGGTTGTCAATTTGACTGACACTTTTTTCTTGATTATTAAATCAAATCAGATTATTTTCACATGTGCCAATTTCTTTTTAGTTTTTGGAAAAACAGAGTTCTCCCCATACAATGACGGAACATTTCTGTTTTAATTTTATTTTCTATATCAAAGGGAGTACAGGTATCTTTTTTTGTCAAAGTATGAAAAAGATTGTACAGACTTAAAAAGTTGTATTTTATTTTAACAATTATTTGATGAAAATGTATCCAATTATGAACTGTCATTCAACTAGGAGATTTTGATGTGATAGTCATGTGGTATTTCTCATCTGAAACACTCAAAAATATTTAGTTAGATGTAATTTATTTGGACTTTTGTAAAAATGAATTTCCATTGTAGAGCGTGATGAGCTAGGAGCTACGGTGTTAGCAGTTGTAGAAGTTTCAGATCATCCATCTTCTCTACAACAGTGTGATGCAACATTACAAGTGCAGGTTTGATGCTGTTCAATACATAAAATGGATGGAGAGCATCGGCGGAAAACATGCCAGTTGTGTTTCTAAAGAAAGAAGAATGGTTCATTTATAATAGAAACTTCTACAATGACAACATTCCTCAACATCCCTGTAAGTGATTGAATCCTTTCCCCCCCCTCATTCCATCTTTTAGGATAATCAGAGTTATGTGTGAATATAGAAAATAGCAGGAGTGTTTCAGGTCAAAAGAACCTGTATTGTTCCATCATCTTAGTGTGAAAAACAGGCCTATATGTGTTTGTGCCGATCATCCCATGGTATTTTAGCTTGTGACTAACAAACCTGAACCTGTTGACTTGTGCTCATGGTGATTATAGGAATGAGGAGGCAGGGGTATGAATTATTGACCATCTGTAAAAGGTGCCATTTTGGTGTCAGTTGGTGGTTTATTTAAAAGAAAAGTTTCGGATCTCACTCGGACTCAGAGACTGTGCACTTTACCTCACAAGAGATTCTGCTCAGGCAGAGGAAGAGTTGTTTGGATACGACATTGCCACTAACAGAGCAAACTATTTGCAAAGTCTTTCTTTTGGTAAACACTTCCAGCTGCCACATATCCAGTTCTTCCCTACTTTGTGAGTGCTTGCTATTGATTTGTGGAAGACCAATTGCGGCTGAAGGAATAAACACCGCTCATAGCTGTTGGCAAACCCTGTCCGACCGTGATGTGTAAGCTGCCATATCCCTGCCTACCCTCGTCGGTGTCATTATGTTTTATTGTCTTAAGAAACATTTATATTTGTAAAAGTTTAAGCTTATTTGTATCCTTAAGAACATGAATAAATACAATGGTTATGCACACTGTCCTTCCATAGAACATGTAATGTATCATCATACTAAATAATAACCACTTTGTTATATAAACAGGTTTCTGAAAAATACTTTGTCTTCTTCTTCTTGGATTTATATTTGTATGCATTTCCTTATTGACATGTCAGAAGTATTACAGTATTTCTTTATGAACCTTTGTTTTTTCAAGTCTTCAGCTTTTGTTTTTGACTCTGATCTTAAATCATATACTCAGTTTACTTTGTGGCGGGCAGAAGAAACCTGCCCCATGCTGACTTATGGACAGGGATTACAGAGAGCTCTAGGTGTAAGCACATGATGAACGAGACAGCTCCTACCAATACAAAAGCAGAATATTTGGACCTTGGTGCTCCCAATACTTTATCTTGCACAGTGTCAAAGTCAAAGGGAAAATGCTGTCATGTCCAATGGCAGCTTAGGAAAATTACTTCACAGTCAGAAATAATACATCCAGAAAAGATAGCACTTTTTTAATAATTGTTCCTTAACCTTAACATGTCCCCCGTCACTACAAATCTCCTCTGCCCAAGTTGGAGGACACGGAGGGAAAGAGTCATTTGTTTATTATTTGATACTGAATGATTTAATACAATGAACACAGAATGCATCCTATGTACAACGTGTGCCAGATTCTATTACAAGTCATTTGAGTTTATAATAAATAAGAAAACATGGGACTATATTTAATATATAAGAAAGTTGAACTGAGTCACAGCACAGAGTCAGATGGCAGAGCTGTTCCTGTCCTAGCATCTTAGCATTAAACTCTTCCTCCCAAACATGCTCAAATCCATTGCTGTGTCCCCCCTGCATGTGCCATGTACTGCTGTCCCGCTTCAGCATGACGTAATCAAATTAAGGCTGACATGAGGAAGTAACCCTGTGTCCACACGGGCCTCTTGCACTCTCTTCCCACACACACACACACACACACACACACACACACACACACACACACACACACACACACACACACACACACACACACACACACACACACACACACACACACACACACACACACACACACACACACACACACACACACACACACACACACACACACACACACCACACACACACACACACACACACACACACACACACACACACACACACACACACACACACACACACACACACACACACACACACACACACACACACACACACAGTCTTGGGACGGTTCTTCTGGAGTCTCTCCTCCTCCCAGTGTGAGCGAGACAGATGGAGATTTATCTCTCAACAAGCTGTGATCTGTGTTTAAAGATGTGTGCTGCAGAACACAACTCTAATTAGGTTTATTGTTGATCTTGGGAGGTTAATTTGTACTTGGCTGTGAGTAAACATGCTGAAAGAGGCCAACCTAGTTCCTTGCAAGGCAGCTATGAAGAATGGCGGCTTTTTTATCTTCTTGACTTTTCCAGGTGATTCAGAAAGATTATACCTCCATGCTATTTGTGTCTGGTCTGGTGTAATTGCACTTCGTACCAAAGGTGAGAGATCTGTCTTGGTTGGGATGGTAGAACTAGGACTGAGATACGGAAAGTGTGTTCAGCTAATGAGCTTAGGGGTACAGTTGTGTACAGGTATACTTATTTTTTTTTTTTTATCCTGTTATTTATTTTCACAACCTCCAGGTAAGTAGCCTTGTCAGAGTCTGAGAGATGAGCCAAGCCCACACAAGTTCTCATTTCTCTGCCCACCCTCTTGTTCATGCTATACACAGACGTGTTTCTAACGCCTGGTGACAGATCAGTTGTCAGCGGGAGAGCAACATAATTATGTTGCATTTTGCATTTCCTACCTACTTGACAATACGCAAACATTATGGAGATGAGACAACAGTAACGATTCCCTCTTTACCTGAGCTAATTCTGTCTGAGGAGGATTCTTATGGGAGTTTGACAAATGCACATATGTGTGTGTTCAGGGCGAATGGGTGTCTCAATGCATTCTCTGTGAAAGAATGTTCTTGTTTAATTTTATGCAGGTGTGTGCCATAAACAGCCTAGTGTTGTCCCTATGAAAGTGTGTGATAATTGTTTTGCTATGCATCCATGCATCCATGTCACAAAACAAATATGTACTTTTAAGAATATGCCAGAGCTGGATACAGTGTCACAGCTGTAATAACATCTGGAAAAATGTATTTTTAAATGTTCAGTACATTTGCAACATAGTTTCTCAAAAGCCGGCCCATTGAAAAATGCCATAGAAAGTGTCATTAAAAATGGCATGAAAGAAGTCAAAGTCAAATGTCATAGTATAACATGATGTGAAAAAGTCATTGTATGGTATATCATTAAAAAACATCATAGCAGATGTTTGAGTATATATGCCAGAAAAAGTGTAATTACACAAATCAGTTCTGTGCTAATTACAGTAGCAAATGGCGTCATGTCAACATGCTAATCATGAAAACGATACCTACTTGTATCAGCATAATGGCGTTTTCATTATGTACGTTAGCATGGTTATATTAGCATTTAGTTGAAGCCTACTGTGCCCGAGTGCAGCCTTACAGAGCTGTTAGTATGTCTGTAGACACTACTAACAATTATTTTCATTAATTTATCTGTGGAGCAAATTCATCTAAAAAAGAGAGGTCAAGTGGTAAGTGGTGCCATCAAATTGCTGCTTTTATTTTGTAAACACTTGAAAAATAACAAAATTCTTCAATTTAGAAAAATATTTAACAGTGCAAAGCTGACATTCTGAGAAATACACTTTTATTTTGGCAAAGATATTATGTTAATTAATCTTGTGTTGATTGAGTAGTTGATTAAAGAACTGTTTTTAGCACCAGAATGAGCTGGTATCATGCATTAACACGTCTATACTTGTGTTTGCATTACTCCACCATCTGACTATGACACATTTTACTCATCTCTTACACTAACGGACACTCAGGCTTCCTCCCCAGACATTCAAAGCAATGATCTGTCCTCTTTATCTTGTTTTTTCCCTCTCAACCCTGCAGTCACTTGTCACCGTGTTTGTCCAGTCCACCCTGCCCGAGTATTACTACTTGGAAATCAATACGCTTTTTTCAGTACATGAAATTTTAAAATGACCCAGACAGCAGATGTGTCTTCTGTGTCACTATACTTCAACTGATGGCTTGTAACACTATGTCCAATAATGCAGCTTGACACTGAGTGATGGTGGTATTAACCTTACTTGGGAAATGTAATACCAACACATCCCTTCAAGAGTTTATGCTTTGATGTTGCTCAGATTGAAATACTGCTTTCTTTCTATTGATCATTGCTGGTACCACTGCATTCAGTACGGCATCTCCATGATCACAGTTCATTGCTCCTTCTTATATCTCCTTTTCTCCATCCTGCCTCACACCGCCCACATCGAGGAGACATGGCTCCCAGCAGGGAGAGGGTCAGCTCAGAGGAGACTTCAACCTGTCAGAAAAATTCACATCTCGCCCCTCATGCCTGCCTTCACCATCCCACCCCTCCATCTCCCACGTCTCCCGTGCTCCCTCCCTGGCACCCATCACTCCTCTTTCCCTCTGCTACCCTCCTCCTCTTGCCATTTGATTCAGATCACTGAGTTAGCCTCCGTCTCCTTTGTCTGAGGCTCCATTTTGCCTGGCAGATGGACAGGGGAAGAAGAGATGGACTCAAATCCAGTATATATAAATGTGTGTTGGTGTTCGTAAGATGGAAGGAGAGGAAGAAAGGGAGGAGGAGGGAGAGAAACTTTTCTGGGAGACAAAATGTCAAACAGCAATGAAGTGAGGAGACTTTTATCTGTCAAACCTGTGTGAGGTCTTGCCTTTCAGGCTACTGAGTGACAAGGCTGCAGTTAAAAGAGAGCTGAGATGCGAAAGTGAGGGCGACAGAATGAGTTTACCTCTCATTCAGTTAGCTTGTCATACAGTATCAGCCTTATCTGTGTGTACCCTATTTTACCTCAGCCAATGTGTGGAACAAAGTCAGGTTTTTGTTGTTCTTTTCAAACAATTTCAAAAGTCACTTATTAGTCATCCAGAAAAAGATTGAGGGCAATAAACTTTGACTCATCAAAAAGTCAACATTAACAAGATTAGTAATCAAATGTTGCCTTTTACTCGGTTTGCATCATGTTTCGCAGGCTTAAAATATGGCCAAAAAGTGGTTACAAAATGCTGACTCACTGTACACTCACTGCCCTACATTGCTCTACTACTAAGCTCATGCTCTTAGCCCATGGCAATGCCTCCACACACAACACAGAGGCAGGCCTAAGAATAGAGGAGGGATTGATGGATGTAAAAAGGGAGGAAAGGAGCTCAGTAATTGAGTAAGTGCCTTTCTGGAGGTGGAAGCCTGAATAAAAAAGTATTTTTTTCATAAAAGCCTTTCTTAGGATCATTTCACTCAAAAGTACATAAAAGCTCTTTCAAAGTTTCTCTGTGTTCTTTGCCCTCCACTGAAATAGTCCCTGCGGAGAATGCAGAAACGCACAAACACTCACTGCTGAAAGACGAGGATAAAAGGGTTGACCCTACAAATACAAACTTACATTCATGCTCTCTCACACACACACACACACACACACACACACACACCCACGCACACAAACACTCATAAAAAATAGAGGGCATCCCATTCAGGCTTCCTAACAGTTTTTTTTAGCTCTGCCTCTCAACCCGAGATATTATTAATAATGCTCTAGTTGAGACATAACAACTAATTTTGCTCTGAAAGGTTCAAAGTGTTCAAGCAAGCAAAGGAAGTAGAGTTTACATCTTTGTCGCAGCAGAGTATGACCTGCGAGGCTAGCAGAGTGGCCTTCAGAGGAGAGTGAGGGTGAACAGGAGCTGTAACCTGGAGACGAACCCGCAGCGTGATGTAAAACACACAACTGCAATCTCAGTGTGCAGCTAGCTAAACACACGGACAGATACTTTAGATGACACATTACTGTTGTGTTTAAGGTCATGAGCAATGACTGTTTTAGAATATATATTAATCCTTCTATGATTTTTATATTTTTATAATTGTATATGAATAATTTATAGGTTGCATGTGTAGCTTTTGAATTCAGAAATATGCTAAGGGAGCTA